TAAATCGAATGTTATAAACGATTTTTTAAACATGATTATGAAAACAATAATCGGTATCGCATCGGTAGGTGTAGGTTATCGGTGCTCGTCTGGGAGAAGTCATTTCTAGACACCTTAACATTTGACTATAGTTGCATTGCCATACATTATCTCTTTCTGACAAAATTCATTTTTCTATTACACTAGTAGAGATAAATTAAATTGTGTACCTGTCTGCAAACTGTAGCACACTCGGTATTCCCCCGAACACACACACACACACACACACACGCACCTCGAACGACAGAGATCTTTATTTCCATATCATGACGATCACACACGCATCGTGTTTAATACACAGAGCGCCTGCTGACTATTCATCAAATTAAAATTAATTGAATGAATGATGGTTATAGAACACGTGACCAGCATTTACAGACTTTGCTTCGGTTGTTCTCTGGAGAATTTTCGTCGGAGCGGTGCTCAAATATGACATATTTGCACATACACGTATCTGTTTTCTAATACAAAAATGGGCAATCCAACCCGAATGTTGATCAGAACGCCGCATGAATAAACTATCTATGATTATTAAGAGCATTTCATTGTCAATGGCACAGTTTATTAGTGCAATTGTTACCGTACTAAATCGGAGTACGCTTGATCGCAGTATACACGCGTGCTGATAAGCGTTGCGCTACGTCCGGAATATTATCACACATGAATGAAGATCTTTTAACTGTACCGTTAAACATATCAGCACAACACGCGCACCATTGCACTGCCCCCAACGATCGCAACATCGACCCACGTTCACACTCTTCCAACAACGACCGAAAAATCTACTCACCAATTTCACTATTGAACATCTGCAGGCCTAAAAGTAAATATTTTTCATCCCACAGAGCTGTCCCACGACCAGAGCTGAAACCAGGACAATAGTAAAGATCATTCCATTTGACTTACATACGAACATCAGAATAGCATCGCCATCAACACTATTCATTAGTAGGCCTTTTCCAACAACGCGTTTATCTGACCCTAAGTTCTCGTAAAATTCCTTTTCTCAAGCACCGAAGCCGACAACAAGTTATCGTGAAGCAAGTTATCGGCTTGTGTACTGGAAGTGTAATGCCCGTGACCATCTTCTATAGATATAAATTAATGGAACATGTTGAAAATGCATAGTAATTATGGAGAGTAATTTGAAGAGCACTGTAATGTTATAAAAAAAAGTGACAAATTAACGACCGTGTGATATGTTCTCGTCAACATATACTAAAATTGAGTCATAAAAATACCAACTCAAATGCTGTGAAAAAGCATAATGATTAAAGAAAACGAATAATAATTTGATTTCATCATAGATGCAAGCCAACTGAGAGATATCACAAACATTTACCTTGAAGTATACTATATAAATTATGTTGGAATAATTGTCTGATCTCGCAGTTGACACAAACTCTTTCGTGTATGGTTTCTATGCGCAAATCATTAATTGCATAAGGTTGCGTAAGTTTGACGTTTATTTACATACAGTGAACTAGACAATTATTAAAGTGATTGACCATAAGTATATTTCTGTATAAATAATTAATTTTACATATTAATGATTCTTATGAAGTAAACATCGACTGACGTGAGCAACCAAAATATTTTGGCCAAGTCTGAATTATAAACAAAAACTATGAAATGTTTGTATTTTATTTTCCCCACAACAACGCACAAGAAAATAAACTCATACAAACATGTAGCAATTACAACACAGAGATAAATCTAGCAAACTAATTCTCAGCACCAGACGGGACACTGTATTTACTATATTTTGCGTGCAATGACTGACCTTAACCATAGTAACGAAATAAACGCGCGCCAACCCTCTGTTGTTAATTTCAGTTACACATGAAAGAATATCAATGCGTTATTACTTAAATGTATCGTATTTGTGTATAACCAATCCAAAAACGTGTGAATCAGTAAAAATACAAAATTCAGACGAAACATAGTTTGGAAAGATTGGTTTGTTTCTGTTCTGAACTTTGACATGGACATGCACATTTCAAACTACAAGAGGGTTTAATAAATGAGCTGCAGCATTATAGGCCTATCTCAAAATTTAACTACAAAGCACTGTATTTAAGCTACGATGGAGGTTTGGTACTTACAGAATCGACCCCCTCAATACGAATATTTATAATTGCGAATAAAACGAAAACATGAAACCTGGAGCAGTGTTTGACATTTTCGATCGTTTTAAATGTAACGCTGACAGCTTTTATCAGTCATTGATATTAATATCATTATTTAAAGAATGTCGACACAATAACAACAAACATTTAGCAACATTGCAGACAACCTAATATAACACGCATCCAGGTACTTTAAAAGTTGACATTATCTTGATTAACGCAACTGTCAATCACCACGTTCATCGTCAGTGCGATAGCATCAAGTCCTGGGTATTTTCTGGAATTAAGTTTGTGAACACACACCTACGTAATTCTTCAGTTTAATATGTGATTGAAGTTATAAATAGATAGTTTTGAATTCCGCGTTAGTTAATCATATATAACATAAAACAAAAGTGGCCTGTTTCAACGGTTAAGTTTATTACACAAGCTTTTCACGAGCAGTCTATGTTAGCTTCAGCAGATAAATCCAACATTATACTGCATAAGCATACATCTGGTGAATAATAGTGGAATATACTTTTATAATTACACAAAAAACCGGTGTGTGTATATATAGAGTATAACAATGATATTCCTCGTTTTTATTGTTTTGTTTTGAGGACTGTGGTTGTACATTCATGTGCTGTTTGGAGTTTTCTGGAAACGTTGTGGTATTTCCAACAGACTTACTGGACTTTTATCGAGATTTGTCTCGTGCTTCGCAACAGAAAGGAAAGGTACAATATAAACACTCAGTGCACTTAACAGTTTACACCACATTTATTGACCCATCTAAGTACAGTACTACCTTTATCTATAATTGTGAATTTGTGAAACTACCAAATAATCACAGGAGTAAAACTAAATTGTTCATAAGTCATGTTTCCCCACATATTATGGCTGAAAGTTAGATCAAGGTACTGAATTTGTTAGACATTTTACGTTTCATTCATTGATACTGATTGAATCGGAGGTATGTTTGTTTTAAAGGTCTTTTAATTAATGTTCAGAACTTATCAATTTACTAATAATTGGTATACATATTTAGGCACGTATACATCAGGTATATACTGCAGTTGCACATTAGGCCTAAGTAGACGGACACTGCGATCTTCATTATCACTAAACATCGTCCACATTTGGTTACAAAGCTTTCTTAATCAGGACACTATCATTTTGGAACCACCTTATAGGCCCTACTTATTTTCAAGAAGCAGTTAAAAATTCATTTTCCAAAACACATATTTAAACTCTTATGATGAACAAGTGCCTTAGAGCAAAATTTGTATATGGATGTTACTGAATGCCTGATTGATTGACTGACTAAATGATACGCAGGTCTTGGATTGTAAAATAACATATATCAATCAATAACATATACTGCAATCCCTTTCACCTACACCATTCAGATTTGTCGTGGCAGGACTCTTTTCCAATAGTTCTCCGACATAACGTACCATTCGAAGGACAAGGTAGCTCAGATGCAAACGAATGTTCCTAGTTTAGTTATATGCTTTTGTGTTCCATGTTGCCAATGAATGCTTCTGATTTTGTTATTGTAAATGATTTTTGCAGTTTGGGCAGACACACATTCCTAGTAGTATTACACAGTCATTGTTCCTTGCTACTGATGACTGTTGCTGGTTTGAGCAAATTTCAAGATGCGTATTCTCATTCTGTTTGTTACCGCATGTAGATGTTGCTTTTGTGTTCTTCATTGACAATGGATGTTTCTGATTCTTATTATTATATTAACTATTGCTATTTTGAGAAAACCTGTGCACACTCCTTTCCGTTTCCTCACAAACAGATGTTGATTTAGTGATCCATGTTACAAATGAATGTTTCCTCTTGTGTTCGTTACAACCAGTGCTGTTTTGAGTAGACACACAGTCATTGTGTTTTTCACCCCAGGTGATTTCGCTTTTGTCATTAGTTGGTAATTGCTACTTCTGTGTTTATTGTTACTGTTGGCTTGTACTTTATGTACACACTGATATTGTACACAGTCTTTCCTATTTCTATACAAGTATGTCTTTGTTGACTTCCATGTTGTAAAAGGATGTTTCTAATTTTGTTTGTTGCTACAGTAGTAGCGACAGACACACCTTCCCGATACAGTATTGTACACAGCCATTTCTGATCTGTTTACAGCAAGTAAATGTTGCTTTTGTGTTCTGTGTTCCCAAAAGATGTTTCTGTTTGTTTTCATGGCTACCAGTGATTGTTGCTGCTTTGAGCAGATACACATTCCAGATAGAGTATGTCATATCATATAATTTATTTCGTCTTCAGTTCAACACATGCAGTAACAACAAAAGGGAAGAAAAACAAGAGAAAAAACAATGCTAACCAACACCAGACGGGACTGCTCAAAAGTGGCGTTAAGCGTACTGTCTGGGAGCTCTCCAAAGTACAGTGCAGTATATTTATGTTTTCATCGTAAGTAAATGTTTCTTTTGTGTTCCTTGTTGTCAATAAGAATGTTTCTGATTTTAGTGAATGTTGCTGTTTTAAGCAGACACACACTTCTTAATATTTCCACAAGAACAAATAGTTTTTCTTTTCCGTGGTTTCGGTGGCTGTTTCTGATATTTGTTGTTAGTGACTGTTGCGCAATTTTAGTAGACTTGCGTTTGTAGAATATCATTTCTGGATTTTACTGCCCCAAAAGTGCAAATGGTTGTGAAATAGAATCAGAAAAGTGCATTGCAATTGATTGTAATTAACAGTGAAGAGTAGAAGTGGATCATAAGACATCAAGTGCTCAACAACACAATTTCACTGCATTCACAATATTCGGTTAATATACAAATTTAAGAGAGAAATTCAAAAAACGGAGAAACAAAATTACATAATTTTGTTAACTTTAATCAGTTTAACTTTCACAAAAATATAAAAGTGTGATGAACTTCACTCCACCAACCCCTCATATTTTCGTCATATAGATCATTCAATTCATTACAGTATTTTTTTTAATTAAATTATGATACTGATTTGTAGCTCAATACTTTTAATTATGATTTTAACAAGATTCTGAGACACTGTTTTGAATTTGAGTCCATGAGTCAAGGTTTTTTTTCTAGTTTTAATTTCTATATATTACTGATCTGACCTTCATAAACAATATATTTAATCAAATGTTTTCTTTCAAATTTGTAATTGTTTGTTACCATTATAATAATAAGTATTGTTGAAGGAATAAATTCAATTAGACCAAACTATCTCTCAGTGCATATTATGTTCCATCCTTTACTCAGAAAAATGCATAAAATAAAATTAAACTACCAACTACACCAAGTATAAAATAGCAACTCCACAGCATCCTGATATAGGTAGAATGATAAGATTGACAGTCTAATTACTATGAAATATTTTAAGTAAAGCAACAATCCTGGTACTTCATTGTTAGTAGTTTACCATCAATGATCCAATAAACTGCTCTCTCAAAAATAAGCTTTGCTCTTGAATTAAGTACCACACCAAACATGATTTCTTTCGCTAAGCACAGCATTTCTATAAGCGCAACAGTGTTTATGAGAGAATGTTCTAGTTTAAAATGAATGTTGTTGCACTTAATCAAGAGTCAGTGGAATAACAAAAAAGTGCAAGGCCCCTGGCTAAAAATTCTTCAGGCCCTAGTAAATTGGTAACTGGGTCCAGGTGGAGCCTTGGGATCCAAGTAGAGACTTTTGGTACGGGGCAAAGCCCACCACTTTCGGCATTTTAAGGTCTTGCTTTTCTTCTTTTTTTTCCTAAAACACATTTAGTTCCAGAAAAAGCCCTGCTCCGCTAAGCCGATATGCAGCAAAAAAAAAAATATTGATGAACTTCCCGGGGCCCTTTAAGTGGGCTCCTGGCTTTAGAAAGTGAGAGCTCATAGATTTTACGCCACTGTCAAAATGATTGATGTTTCTTATCATCGAGACACTATCAAACACATGTAAATCAAGTTTTATGGATTAAACAATACTAACGTTGCAACAAGTCAAATTAGCTGATGTACAATACATGGTACCGGCACAAAAATAATGTGTAATAAGCGCCACTTTCAAATGAGTATCACTCTCAAATAAGTGCCACACTAAAAGCTTTAAAAAAGTTTAAAAGCACCGCAGTACTTAATGGAACATTACGATAATGTACTAACACTCTCGATGCTTTCTTGTTAGTAAAGATTTCTAATGCTTTGCTGTCAGTAGGTAGGTTTACTATTCAATTCTTGGTGCTTGGTTTTTGCTAGGTGGGTGTGCTCTTTCATCAATGGTGCTTGGTTGTTGATAGCTGAATGTACGTTTAAGCACCTATTCTTATGAGTTTTCTCCAGTGGCGCCACCAGGATTTGCCCGATGAGGGGGATAATCTATCCGACAGGGGACCTGGTGGAGACCAGGGGCAAATATAAGTGTTAGCACATTATTCCCAAATTTCCCCCATTTTTGATCAAACAAATCAAGTCCAACAGCCTGCCAACAGGAGGAACGGGGCATAATCTCCCTGCCACCGCACTGGTGTAGCCACTGGTCTCTTATGATAATAATAATAATATTTATGGATTTATATAGCGCCTCACGTTGACACAACCTCGAGGCGCTTAACAACAACAGAGAAGAAAAAAAAACCAAAACAAATGCAAATGTACCAAAAAAATTACAATATTATCAAATATTTGGTTTTAGTTTAGTTGAATTAAGTTCAAATGATTGGTTAGATGATTATCAATAAATGTTATTATCACAATGCTTTGGTAATTGGAGTCGTTTCAAGGCCTGTTACATTCTATTCATCCCAAAGCCTCTTCAGGTATCTTGTGTCATTCAGCGGTTTTATCTTGTTTACCTTTCTTTGATTGCAAGTTTCCAATATCTTTTAAAGACATTTTTGCTGAGCCTCTGCTAGCTGGCTTAGCCTGCAAGAAAATGTATGAACATAATTTTATTATACTATACAGTTGTCTATTTCCATGTCAAATAGCATCTAATTTGATTCTTAATCTTGTTTATTTCTCAAACATGTTTAAGTACGTCCATCCAGGGTATCTGATAATGAATAGTAGGATCTGCTACACAATGCGCTTTCAAATACCTAAATATATTTCTGAACTAAAAGTGGCAGGAAATAAGATTTTATTAAAATTTGGTACTATTTTTACAAGGTTGCTTTCCCTCGTGGATAAAAATTTTCTTTCTGAAGCCCTAGGTGCTTGAACCGTGAGGAACTTATAATTTGTCTTGTAGTACATATTGATTCATTCTTATGCATTATGTACATTCAGTTGAAGGCTAAAACACAATAACGACCAAACAGGGACCCAAACAGCACATTCACATGCAAATCAGATACCTCCCTGTAATAAAATTAATTTGCAGTTACATTCCAGGCACATAAAAATGATTTATAATCTCATTGCATTTAATATTGATTCAAAATTTTTGAAATATGTTTGAAATTTGTGCATCATCTTAAACAATATGTACAGTTTCTACGATATCAAATCAAAATGTGGAAATGTATATTCCTGTCACCTGACAATTCCAACTCCAATACCTTAAAAGTCAAAAATGTGAAAATTATCAACTTTATTAAAGTTTAACAAGAACTGTACAGGTATGTGTTTTGATTGAGGTAATGTTTTGATTGGTTAAACACTTTTGGTACTAGTGCATATAAGCTTGCTAATATGGATAATTTTTTCATTCCTGATGATGACATAATTAATGTTGAAATATTGAATCCCAACACGATGGTGTGTATTTCAATACTTGGAGTATGTATTATACTTTCTTGTATGTGAATGTATTGTTCAATTTTGGAGTACAGTATTTATGGTCTAGTCATTAACAGATTGCAGAAAGAAAAATCCCATCGTGTCCATGTAAGCATGGGAAAATCGATTGTTGAACAAAAAAAAAAAAAACTGCCAACAAACACATTTTTCTTGAAAAAAAAAGATTTAATATTTTTAATATTAGAAATGAACAATAATATTTCATATTTTTATAAATTTTAATATATTATTTCTTATTTCAAAGTATTTTAATATTTAAAAATGATATCAAATTATATTTTGATTTTAGTCTGTGAATGATGAACAATAAAACTTAAAAATACACTTTATTGGGAAAAATAGATTTAATATTACAGAAATGAACAATAATAATTCATATTAACTGTTTGATTTTACTATATTTCATATTTCTGATTATTTTAGTATTCTCAAAAGTATTTTGAAATATATTTTGTTTTTAATCTGTGAATGAAAAAAAAAACTGAGAACAAACACATTTTTCGTGAAAAAAATAGATTTCATATGGCAACGTTCAGACTTGGAGATGAGCCCAGCTTACATTAAGCCAAGCCCAATTTTGCGGGGCGTTCAGACTAGCTCAATTAGGCAAGCGAGAAACGTAAGTTAAATTTGCATATTTATGAACTGGAACAAGAAAATGGTTTTCAAAACATTGCGCGCGAGACATACAATTTTCACAGCAAAACATAATTGAATGCTGATTGTTAAATTTTTTATCTGAGGATAGAATTTTAAAAAGGATTTCCAAGTATAGTTTATTTTATAGATTCAATACTTCTATTATAGAAATTAACAATAATAATTCATAATAACTTTTATTTTATTATATTTTTTTTTAATTTCAAAGTATTTTAATATTTTAAAAAGGATTTCAAATTATATTTTGCATTTAATCTTTGTAAATGAACAAAAAAAAAAAGCAAATAAACCCCTTTAAAAAAAAAAAAAAAAAAAAAGAATATTTCTATTATAAAAATGAGCAATAATATTTTATTACTGTTTTATTTTATTATATTATTTCTTATTTCAAAGTATTTTTGTCCTTTTTTAGATGTAGCTCTCTCTATACTAACTGTCTGTAATTTATTTTGCAACAACATATGGGATTGAGATAACATGCTCCTATGCATCATTGTCTACTATTTATAGTAAATCCTGATGATTTAAGTATCATTTAAAATGTTCTTAAAGATGCTACTTACAAATCGACTTAATTCTTGGCACATATTTTGACGTTAACAAACTAAATTCTGTGGTGTTCGTTTTCACATTATACAGATTTTAAGTCAAAGTCTTTTGATACAAAACACTTAGTATTTAGTTACTCAACCGCTGTTTCGTTCAGACAGAATTCTGTATGAAAATGGCTCGAATAAAATAAATGGTGCTTATAAACGAGAATTAATTTACAGAGCGTTAACGAGGCAACAATTTACAGATAATATGAGCTGACAATTGATTACCTACTCAAAGACATGAAATTGCTCAGAAACATTAAACAAAATGTAAAACATGGCGTGCATATTAATGAGACTGATTTGTAACTAGCCAACTTAGATGCAAATAAACAATAAATGACGAACAACAATGCTCTACAAAGCTATGGAGCTCCAAGATGCTTCATTTGTAAAGATCAAATTCAAAATCATAGGATTAAAAATTATCCTCTCCCCACCTTTGAAAATGAAATGCACCAGATTTAATTTGATCAGCAATGTAAACACCCACAAAATATGAAATATTATTCGATATCCAAAAATATTTACAAAAAAATTAATAAAATTAAATAAACAGAACAAAGAAAATAATTTGAATAAAATAAAGAAAAGAATGAATAAATAGGTTTTTAAATGAACGAATGAACAAACAAATGTAAAATTATAAAAATTATTAGCATTTTCAAAAAGTACTGTTATTTTTACAATAAACTTATAAATACCTTTATATCTGAAATATATACTATAAAATAAATAGCAATAATTATTACTATATATATATATACACACACACACAAATCCCCAAGTGATTCAGGTGATTTTCTTTCCAACAAATAGTTGGGAACGTACTGAGTCAGGTATGGCAAAAGATCACTCCTGTGATATTTCCTGATGCAAATTCACATCATAATACGATACATGTAAACATATAGTTGAACCTACTGTACACATTTTTTATATAAGTACACATTTTATAATGAGGCAGAGATGTCTAAAAAAAAATAAGAACAAATTGAGGCTGGAGTAAAATGACAAATTAGTTTTTATTTAAAAAGCTAGGAGTGACTATGTAATATCCTCTATAATACAGAGAAAGTAATAATTTTCTATCTTTGAAAGTGTGTAAAATAAGAACAAAATAAGAACATTTCAAGGCTGAAATTAGCCAAAATATAAGAACACTGAGGCTGCGCAAAAGTTTACTCCCGCTTATAAAATCACACTTTTCAAAGAAACTGAGAATGACATTATAATTCAGTAATATAATCCTTAATTTTCATACATTTCTTTCGGTAGGAAGGGTGATTTCCATCCCCCCCCCCCTCCTCCTCAAATGAACACCACCTTGAACACTATTAAAGTACATGGGCCTCCATACTTTATCACCCTCTGGGCCTCCATACTTTATCACCCTCTGGGCCTCATGGCTTGTTATTGTTATGGTTCTGGTTTAATGATGTATTGTGGAATAGAAGAAATTTGAATCAGCTAATTGAAAATTAATTGGGGTTCCACTTGCATTCATTACCATATCATAGTTTTGTAGTAAAGTGCTCTGGCATTTCCACGATTAAATGCACTCCCACATAGTTATGTTTCATTAACCTAATTAAGTATATTAATAACATAACTTCATTTCAGTTCCATTTGATCAATTGCAGACATTATAGTGCAAAGAGAAAGAAAAATTAAAATGATGAATGAGGTTGAGTTCAGTTGAAGGAATGAGCTAAGTTCAATGAGAAAAGAGTTTGAATTTTTTTAGTTTTGAGACAAAGAATGGGCTTGACAAGGAATGAGGTTAGAGTTCAATTATGAATTTAGTTAAAGTCCCCATTGCAGGGGACAATATTTCGATAAAACTAGCTGATACGCCGGTTACTTTACCCATAGGTCCGGTGCGAACAGCCCAGGAAGTTTTCCGGTCAGAAATGGGATTAACAATGATTATGTTGTAAATAACTCAGGAAGAATCTGTCCATTGAAATGCAAGACAACACGAAGCAGGAAATCTTTAGTTCAAACCTCAACTCATGTTTACAACTCACCTTTTCAGGGATATTGGTTTTATTGTACAGTATATCTTTCTTGTATACTGTATATTATTTTTAAATGCAACTTTTACGTTTTTTTATTTATTTCATACTGTATTTCTATGTGTATCTTGTTTTGTGGTCATGACAATAAAGCTTATCTTATCTTATCTTACCCAAGTCGATAGTTAGTTTAACCGATTCAAATGTGCCCAAGAAAACTACCGGAGTGAATTTGCCTGGGCTAAATATTTCGCACACTCTCTTTAAAACACAAAAGGAACGGACTTTGGCGAACGTGAACAACTTCCATGGCAACTACTAGGGCGTCCTCTCCAAAAATTGCGGAAAATGCTATCTTGTGTTTATAAGATCTTTTGTCTAATTAGGTTAAAGAATTAAAATAAAACATTAATGAATTGATGAAAAATACATTTGAACTGAGATTGATTAGGATTGAGGTTGAGCATATAAGGAATAATGTTTTGCTAAGTTTTAAATTTCGCTCCTACGAGTCATTAAACAAAATGTTACCATAGTGATACTGTAATTTGCTTGTAGAGTAAATGATTCACAAGCAAACAATTGACATATGGACTTGATCAATGCACTTTTGTTGTCAAAACAGTACAGAATTCAACAAAATAACATATTCACTGATGAAAAACATCCAATTTTGTGCTACATTTGCCTCAATTTTATTAATTTAATTTTAGTCCATATGCTTGAAACATATGATAAAAACATAAATTAATTGTTATGGCACAGATTAATTAAATTATACAGCTGATAAAAACTCAGTAAAAGCCTAAAATAAAACAAAACAGCTGTGTGTGCGTATAATAAAAATATTTCTATACGATTATTAGACGATTACAAAACGTAGCAAATAAATTATCAGCGTATAAAAAGTTGAAAATAGAATACTGTAATCTAAAACACAGGCCTCTGTAAATTTTATCAATTCTATTCTTAGTCCATGGTTGACGCATATGGTAACAACATACTTTAATTGTTTTGGCATAAATTAATTAAATTATACAGCTCAAAAAAACTGATAGCAATAATATATCATAGAAAAAAACACAAATATTAACACAAATTAAATGCTGTTGAAATGCAAGGATAATTATAATAATACTAAAAATCAATAGCATTATTGGAATATTTAATTAGTATATTTTGGGGTGTTGTTTTATGTTTTTCTACACAATTATTAGACAACTATAAAATGTGGCAAATAAATTATTTTCAGTGTATAAAAAATTGAAAATAAAGTAATATAAAATATAGGCCTACATAAATTTAATAAAATGCTTGGAGCATTGGTCTCTAGAAATATCCCCTCCAATAAATTTTATATTAGAAATACATTATTACGAGCTTAATTTGTACAAAAAGGAAATACTTTTAGCATACAAGATGTTTATTTACTTATTATGAAATTTATCTCTATATAGTGTAATAAAATAACTTATTAGTATATAAATAAGATAAAGTGAAGCAAATTAAAAATGTAACGATAACGATGTGATCAAAAATCAATATGCATAATTGTTTAAGTTTACTGTATTTTTTTTCATAGATTAACTGATAGTAGGTGCTTGCTTAAGATTGAATGGGGTTATATTCCATCAATATAGTTTTTACAGTTATAAAGATATATCCCAGAGTGGTATGCTTTCTATGGAATATTGTAACAGGATAAAAGGAATATTAAAGCCAGCTCCGGAGGAAAAAAATGCTTGATATGTTGTACAACTGATTTTTCCAAGACACAAAAAAGCATATTTGACAAAAAAACTTGAGAACAGTTTTAATAAGATACAGATTTTTGAATATTTAAAAATTACCGGGGAAAGGTTGAAAAGAGGGTGGTTACACCCCCTTTCCCCAGGATACAGATTTTTGAATATTTAAAAACTAGGGAAAAGTGTGGAATAAAGGGTGGTACATCCCCTTTCCTTTAGTTTTTAAATATTACCAAATCTGTATCTTATTAACCTTTGCCAATTTTTTCGTTAAATATGTTTTTTGTCCCAGAAAAATTAGTTGTGCAACATAGCAAAATATGTTTTTATTCTGGAACCTGGCTATAAAGAGATGTTAATTCTTTATCACATTATGTCACTGATGCATTATGTGGTTTGTACATAAAATATATATAATATATAAATATATGAAATAATATGAAGTCTTGGAATTAATAGTTTTTAAAAAATTATTAGCTCAATTGGACAATGTAATTAATTTTGATTTTTCTACTCTAATGGTATTTTGTAACTTCATACTTATAATACCGATGCTAAAATAATTTACAATTCTGATTTCAAAATTAGCAAGCAAATACTATAGGCACTGAAATACATATAATTAAAAAACTAATATCGTTTTTTTTAATGTTATGTATAATATAAAGATATTACTAGAGCAAAGACTTCAACCAATGACCTTGTATGTATCGAACTAATGCTTTGCCATCTGAGATAAACCCTAGACAGCAATAGCTGTTCTACAATACCTTCTTTGTTTCATGAGATGATAGAATCTTATATCATAAATACACATCAAAAAAATATAATTTTTTGCATGCAAATGCCTCATGGCAGGTTGGTTATTCATACTAAGAAACAAGTGAGACAATTTTGCAGCTAACAATCGTCTCATACAATAAAAATTAAATACACGTATAAAGCCCATCATATTCCCGATAATGTTGTGTTGTTAATAATGTTCTCTGTTGTTATTAAGATTTTTCAAATTGGTCTTAACCTACCTGTGATTGGTCTGGCTTCCAACCAATCATAAAATAGAGTTCAAAGGTAGCAGGTACTGTTCCATCATCGTTACCGTACATTTCTGCCAAAAAGTAAGAATTCATGGTTTAAAAAAAAACAGAAAGAGAGAGAAAAATATGGCATGAATTTAGCTGCTATGCTATATAGCTCATCGTCATGCAAGAAATAATGTTACTTTACCGGTTTTGTTAATAACAGAATGCAATTCTGAATACACACAATAGAACGTCTTATTACCACATGCAATGCATGTGCAGTTAGACTTGAATCACATGATTAATATTATAGTGTCCTTTTACCAAATCTTAATGAAAAACTGCTTCACAAATGATCAAGAAAAACACCGACTGTAAAAAATTTAAATAAAACTTCAGTTTCATTGAGCCACAGTTTTCAACAATTTACAAACGATTTATTACAAAATTTATTAAATTTTCTGCCAGAAATTTAAGGGTAAATACTAAAACCTGTAACCCTGTTAGACAGCGTACCCCATCCCCTGAGAATACATTCTCAGGGGATGGGGATTCTCATACATTACTACTGTAATCGGCAATGCACCATATTTGCAATTTAATTGCCTGTCATTTCTAATTGTGTGAGTTTTCACCATAAGTAAATTTACCTTTAGGCCATCTCCAGGCTTGTTTTGCTCTCATACCTGTATTTGTAATGTTTCTTGAAAATAATACCTATCTTCCATTTTACCCCAGAAGTTCTTATGTGGGAACGGTTTGGTTTCTCAACCATGAGGTCAGGCTTTCAATAGGTACCAGCAACTTCTTTTTACTCAACACCCTTACCACCCGAGGTGTATTAATAAGTACCTGGTTTGTTGTAAATAATGAATGTTGGATGTATGTAGTATAAGTTATTCAAGCATTTACTTTACTACAGCTCCCAAGGCTCCCAGATTGCCTGTAGTCTCCAGGAATTTTGGTTCATCTTCTGGTCTTCTTGAAATTCTATATTTTCTCCCAGAATTTTATTTCTCTTGGATTTCTCCAGGATTTTGAGAGATTTTCGCAATTAGGGATGATGCTACTTAGCTAAATTTTCCCATTCTTATGCATTAAATATGGCAGACATAAACAGTGACTTAAACCTGCCCAAGCCTCTTTGTTTCTATATTGAACATGACGAAAAATGTGTATACGCGTGTCCTTGTACATGCGTTTTAGCAAGTACACGCGTTGCAAACCTGCTGCCTGTCCTGCACGACAAATTCTCAAGGAATTTGACTTTCACAAATTGTGACCCCTGGTATTACTAGAAATATTCCCAGGAAGCGGAAGTGACACGATGTGTATGATTGTTACTTTTTCCAATGACCAGGGTAAATCAATCACGCGAAGAACTTTAAGGGGTTCAGTGGAAAGCAGGATTTAAATGCCAAATAAAGAGTAAGCTGACTAACGGCTAATGGCCCGTAAGTTACACAACAGAAGTGATTTCATCAATTAATCATTAATGGAAATCAATATTCAATAATTTACAACAATGATTAATTAACCGACTTAATTCAAACACATCTAAAATTAATTACACTGATACAAATTGAAGTAGTATATTGCACAAGCAGAGTTGAGGAGGGGAGCAGTGTTGAGGAGGGGGAATTATTCATATCATGACCTTTAATATGGTCCTATAACACTGTTTTTCTTTTTTAATACTATGCAAAATCTTTTAAATAGTTTTTTTTTGTTTATGCTTTTATTGTTTTTCTTTTAATCATTTAAATTTCATTACTGTAAAAGTGGTGATTTTCACATGTAAATTTTCGTGGTTTGCAACCCTATTCGCGCGTTAATATTTTCGAGAATTTCAAATTTTTATCTACATAAAAAATGTGCTTACAGTTGGTGTGGCCAGTGTGCTTTCCTAGCCTAATTAAGGTTGACAATGTGATATTTACAAGACAAAATGTCCCTTCGGCCTAGCCAGCCCTACCTACGACCTAGGATTCCTATGAAGGCTTAGGCTGGTTATCATCAATTGGCGATAACTTTGATACTTGGTCCAAAATCAGTGTTTATACTTACATTGCAGTAGTATTACAAAACTTTAGCAAGTATTAGAGTAATAGGCATATTATTACAGTACAGTAATTATTATTATTTACTTTTTTATTTCTATCTGTAACCAACTCCTAAATTACTTGGCCTTATATTGGGTCATTCACATACACAAAAAGCATTTTTTCTAATAGCAGTGAAGGAACTATTATGAAAATTGGAATTATATTTTCAAGACAACAAATACCTATATAGGCATATCACTTCAATTATATTTAGAATCTGATAATTTTTAAATGGATACTGAAGTATTTTTACATAGTATGCATAAAAGGTAACTTGCATAAAATATTTCAAATTATTAAATAAATTGAATTTGAATTTACTGTATACATTTTTTTTTTCCCCTAATTAAGGATCCTCCACATTTTTTGTGAATAAATGTTCTGTAGTCACTTAATTTTTACCTACCCTGGGTACTCACCATATTCGGATGGTTGCCCATTGGCTAATAAACGTAGTAATACGATACGTCATTCATTAGCATGAGCCAGGTATAGCATGTCCTCCAATGTCAACTTAACATCAAGCTCAATACTATCGCGTGAATTAATCGATGCGAATATACCCACATCAACTTGATGTAGCGGATAAACTGATACCTTGGGACTAGTACAGACCCATTAGGTATGTGACTATATGGGTCTCTCTAAAGGGTTCGACCGAATCATTATAGATATATAGAATTCATCTCTCCCCGGATTCAACTATTAATCACAACCGTACATAATATACATTTCCTGTTACCATATTAAGGCTTGTGCTAAGTTGTGTTCATAGAAAACATTCATAGAAAACTTATCTCTCTGGGAGTTCAAGGGCTTTCACAATGGGTTTGTATAAAAGAGTTTGTACGTACAATGCTTGCATGTTTCATTAATTACACAAAGATTTTTTTTTCCCAGATTGTCATCACCCAGAACCAGAAAATGCATCTTCAGAACTGACAAAACTTCTAAATGTATGTTTACAGTGTTGGATCCAAGGGTGGGGGTGGGGACACAGTCAACCCACTCCCCTCCCCCTTCCCTAAGTTTTACAAAATTATTTTTAAAAAAATGGAGAAAAAAAGTATATTATTTTCAAACTTAAGTTTGAGAGATGTATCATAATCATAAATATTCTTTCCTGAGCCCCAACCATGATGGGGCTGAGGTGGTCTAGCCTCTCCTTCTGTGAAAGTCCAAGCACTGATAAGTAAGCAACATAAGGGGTCTATGACCGATGGTAAAACATTTTAGTACTTGGATACTTTCTTCGGATTGTGAAAGGTGACATTACTTGTAACTAGATACAAAGGTGAATGAGTTTTAAAGGATTGTTAGGTGAAATATACATTAGAGGTGGTTTTATTTAAGAGAAGGATTTGTTAAGAGAGCAAAACCTGTTGAATCAAATTACCACTGAAAATGTAAAAAGGTTAACAATATTATTGTACTATGAGAATGATAGACTATATTGCGTTATCGAAGACTACGGTGTTAAAACTTGCAAATCAATTCACACTTTAGGAAATGAAATACTGTATCCACATATATAGTCATGATGTGATGTCATTATGACCATATTTAGGCATTTCACATGTTTTTGTCAAATAAAATTTGATCTGCACACTGCTTTAGTCTGTCTCTTGTGGCAGATCCAAGGAGGAGAAATACGGGTGCTTCCCCCATGACAAAAAACACGATCTCTCACCAAGTGTAACTTATTTAGGTATGAGATTAAAAAGGCTAAAACTCCAAACCTTCTAAGGTGCATTACCTTTGGACCCCACAATAAGTAAAGGAAACCTCAACTTGGCCCAACTTGGACTCTAAATCTTGGACTATGGGTTTATGCTTGCCACCAGGATCTATCATCTGACCTCATTGTGGCTATATGACATCATTGTGGTTATACTGTATAACAATGTGTCATCATTCATCAATCCTAAATCACCATCATCAATCATTATCAACATAATCACTATCAATTATTGTCATTTACCAGCATCATTATCTTTTCTGTCATCAGTAATTATCATCATCACAAAATCTAAACATTTTTATAACACTATATTCATCTACTGTATTAAGAGACACACAACACTTGTTGCACCAAAACTTGTACTAAATCACGGGAAGTGTACAACCACACAGCATTGCAGTCTAGAAGGCACTCTGGTATGTCAGCTCATCATTTTCACCAACAACAACACCAAATCATCGTTAGCACATCATTATCATTACTATATCTCTACCATCATATTCATTATCACAATTGTCAGAATTAGTACCCTTATTATCCATCACAAATTTTCACCACTGTTTATTATCATTACAAACATCTTCATCATACTTACTATATCATCTTCATATTTACCAACAGATTAACATTTGTAACCCGCTCTGGCAAAACCCTCTGTTTATAATTTCTAAGCAAGCACCCAAAACATGCAAGAATCAGAATTTTAAACATTTTCATGTTTTTGCATTTTATAAAAAAATGATATATTAAAGGACAATTCTCTGCAAAATATCAATCACTAGATGTAACTGAAAATTATTTTTTAAAATAAAAATCTTAATAATAAACTATTCATTTTGTAATCTTTGGAATCTGTTTTCTCAAAATCTATATGGCTAATATCCAATGAATTCAATATTCATAACTTCACCAATACTCAACCAATTTCCATCAAATAAACACTGTAAAGAATTCATGCAGAATCTAAAACTCAATATTTTCTACGAATGCCTGGTTTGGCCAGAGTCGGTCACATATATTTATAACTTAAAAATGAAGTCAAATATGTCCATGATAAAATCAGACAAACATTTTTTTTCAGTACCACTACCAAGACAGTTATGTAACTCCTGTACATTTGATTAGTTACAATATGCACAGGGAAGGAAAAATATTCATAAACTAAGCACTGAGACAATCTACTCATTCATATTCTTTTGTATATATTGATAATAACAGATAGCTCGCTCATCATAGAATAATAATAAAATTAAAAACAAATGATTGGTTGCAGAGTATGTGGGCGGATGTACTTAAATAAATTCAAGAATAATCCTCTTGAATATAATAGTCAATGTCATGTTATAGGGAAAAAACGAAATGCATCCATTTCAATTCTTGATGGAATATTCCACTACAAAATGGAGTTTTTGTGTAAATCCTCAAAATATTTGATATAAATCCTATAAAATATTACCATTATTTTTACACAGAGAATCCTTTTACCTATAATAGCAGCTTGGTGGAGAAGTTGCTTGCCATCCAATCCTAGTGCCCTGGGATCAATTTCTGTCTAGACAACTGCTTCCAAATATTCCACTAAAAAATGGGTTTTTGTGTAAATTCTCAAAATATTTGATATAAATCCTATAAAATCCTAGGGCCCTGGGATCAATTTCTGTCTTTACAACTGCTTTCAAATATTCCACTACAAAATGGGGTTTTTGTGTAAATTCTCAAAATATCTGTTATTAATTCTATAAAATATCACCATTACTTTTACGCAGAGCATTCTTTTACCTATAATAGCAGCTTGGTGGAGAAGTTGCTTGCCATCCAATCCTAGGGCCTTGGGATCAATTTCTGTCTTTACAACTGCAAGTTCAAAGTCTTTGGTAATAAGATTTGTTTTTTTCTACAAAATCAACTCCACACCCAAAACCTAATAATGTCTTATATATTTTTCCTGAGACTTCGACTTTTAAAGTTGAATGAATAAATACAATAAAAAATGTTCCTTCACTGAACTTTTTTCCTTTGTTTATTATCTTTTTCTCCCAATTTATATTTTATTCAATGACGTAACACTTAGGCCCTATAAAAAAGTTATTAGTTTATCACCTCATTTAGGCTGGAAAAGTGATGAGGGAGGCTTTTTATTTTTCTTTTGCCAAATTTTACACTTATGTTGTCTGCTGGTGCATTGATATTTAAAGTAAATCATAACTAAGATAATACAAAAAATATTTACTAAAACAAAGAAAAAAATTTTAAAAAATTCAAATTCTCCCCCTCCCCCCAACCCAACAATTTTTTTTTTGTTGAAAAAATATATGTTTTTTTTAATACCATAGAAAACATGCGCATAAGTGTGATAAACTAATATTTTTTTTTATTGGGCTTTAATATCTTTAAGAAATGAGCCGTTAATCTTTAGGTAGAAAACAGAAAAGCCTAAGCATGTCAAATTTTATACTACATAATAAATATTAGAAAATATAGGTTACATATGAGCATACCTTCTTCATTATTTCCTTTGAAAGGCCCTAAAGCATTCGCGATGACATAAAACTATCTCTGTTGAGACCATGTCTACTTTCTCAAAACATTTCTAATAATTACATCCTGATCTCAACAATTTCATTAACACTGTGAAATTTTCAAAAAGGATATCATGTACACGGTACGTGATGAAGCCCCAATTAGCTTTATTTTTCTGGATTAGCATTTTGTCTGAATTTATTTACACTGTAAACACCAACAGGATATAGGCAAGTAAAATCTGTATGCTAATTATGTGTTTTGCCTTAGTGCCTCAGCACAATACTCTTGATAGAGCAAGTCTGTGTAGACAAATTAGCTGCTATGTAAATACCATCTGTAAAGCCGCTAATTGTCAAAAACCCCACTTTCTAGGATTTCCAAATGCAATGACAACCAGTTCCTGAGCCTAATGCATGCACATGGATAGGGAAAACATTTTGAAAGGATTACCCTAAATGATCAAATAAGCACTGCGGCGCTTGTGACAGTTTCGGAGGCTTCAATGCGGCGGTTATTTGAGAAAGGCAGTTATTTGGGACCATCGTTAATCAAAAATGATTATTGATGTTCTCTTTGTCACCCTATCACACCTTGTAAAAATAGTACCTTGTGTTTTATATATGCCTGCTAACATGTTACAATAATATTAAGCCTAAACAACTGATTTCTCATGGACTAGGCCTACATAATGTCTCAATGATACAAAATATCAAGGCAAGTAGAATGTATCTTTAAGAGATACTGTGGCGTACAACCAAGACCGCGCTTATTCAAGAGGGGCACCTATTTATTAATTTACAGAAACGCTCCTAGGCGCGATAAGTAAATAAACCCAAATACCTTTGTAGATAGCTGAAGCTGCTGCTAATGTGTCTCGATGGAGTATAAGTTTCCTAGACCAAGATGCATTGCTTTCTGCCATGCCTTTCAAGTCCGACATGACCTCAAACATTGATGGGTAATTCACTTTGATTTCATCAACATCCTGTTAAAGAAACTCATAAAAATCAAAAACTTGAACTTGAATAAATGATGTGTAGCTTCTAGACATGATGGATTAATTGATTGATATTCTTCTACTGTGATGAAGGCTGTAACAGGAACGTAGCACAGTTACACCTTATTCCCATGAGAAAACCTATTGTACAGAACGCATTGTAGGAAAGTTTTCCAAGTGCCCCTTATAAATTATAACAGGGGACGCTGTATTGCATCTGTGTGAATGAAACGGATCTGTGTAAGATTTGCACAAGTTCATTTTAGGGTCTTTTTGTCAGGAAAACAAACATTGCAGGAGCTTTTAACATTCCCAAGAAAATCATTTAGCATGGATCTGCGATGGTACGCAATCAGACAAAAACCACCCTGGACAACAAAAACCACCCAAAATTGACTATTACCACTGTTAAAGTGGGCTGGGCAGTGGGGTGGACAACGTTGGGTGGGTTTGTTTTTACTGTATCTAGCTTTACAATAGGATAGTTTAATTACATAGTGAGTTCCTATTATATGCCGTTAATTCATTCAACTCTTTTTGCAACATGCATCTAGGTTTGTAAAGCTCGATAAAAACAAGCCCACCCAACATTGTCCACCCCACTTCAACAATGGTATATTCCATTTTAAGTGATTTTTGTCTGCGTGGTTAATGTCCAGGGTGGCTTTTGTCCTACACTCATCTGTGATAATTCTTTAAGGTGCATCTTAAATTTTACTGCGGCATTGTACATTTTGAATGTCTGCATATCTGCAAATTTTAGCCAGGTTTGAATTTACTTGTGTGAAGAAGAGATTTTGGTAAGAACATCTCATGTCTCATGTGGATCAGGTATAAAGGTCTACATAATTTTGGAATATCAAAAGAATAAACTTCAAACTTACAATATTTTTTTTGTTAATATAAAAATAAAATATAATAATTACAGGTAATACTTAAAATGTAATTAATAATATATGAAAATTATTAATGAAACATAATAAACAAAAGTATGTTGAGCCGTAATGTGGCAAAGATAAGCCAAACCAGTAACTCCATTTTTATGTATTAATACAGGATTAACCAGTAAAATTAGAGTTATAAAACTGTGAAAGAATCATTTAAATCTGACATTTCGTTGTGAAGTTACATGGGGTTAAACATACAGCGGTTTAAATAACAGTATTTCAGAAATTATAGACTTAAAATTTACAATTTTGAGTTATTCTCAAGCAGAGACCATCGCCAAAATGTTAAAAGATTTTGTTTTAACATCGAAAATGATGACAATAACAAACAAGCATGATATATAGATACATAAGGTTAGTTTAGTGCAATAAAATTGATTTCCAAAATTTGACATTTTGACATGTTTCGGCCATTATCTCCAAAAACATGGTTGGCGAGGAGTGACAGGTTTGGCGTGTCTTCGCCACATATCTAGACATGAAGAATTGTAGTTTGTATGTATTTTAGTAAACTCCACAAACCACTGTGAAGTTAATTACATAAAACAGTTATGATCCAAAGAAGTTATGGCAAAAAATAGGGGAATCCTCCTTCCTTTTTTCAAAAATCTCATACATGAAACTTATTATTTTTACTAGGCCTTATATACAACCAATAGCTAAAGTATATAAAAAGCATGCAATTATGTAGTACTTTGTCCAATGTTATTGATATATGCAGTGGCCATTTTGCTTTATAAGAGCACTCAGTAACTGCACGCACCTTAAATTATTGCCCATTAATTTTGATTAAAAAATTTTATTTTCAATATTCATGCCCATTACATTACTTGTGAAGAAAATGCTTAGAATAATATGCTCTTAAAAATATAGGCATATGCTTCGACCAAAATTTCCAGAAATTTGCTAATGCCACTTTTCCGTATTCTGATAATACAATTCAAATGTTTTTTTATTTTTTGAAAGGTTATTTCACTTCCGAGATGTTCATTCTAGATATCTAAATATTGGGATAATCTAGTTTACTGTATATCTTACTAAACAACATCATTAGGTATCAGGAGTTAAAAGTATAAGAAATATATGAGTAATTTATTAGGTTGAATCCATGATCATGTGCTTTCAAGGAGACTACTTTAAACATTGAACCACATAAACACTTCAAAATAAACAGAATATTACAAGAATTCTAAAAATTCTTGTACTCCTTAACGCTACTGAAATGAAATGACATGAAATAATTTGGCCATTACTGCCACTAACTTCTTAATTCTGGATTAACAACACCTCCATAAAAAAATGTTAAATCACAGTTTTTTTCATATATTATTGTAAAATTCCATTGATGTATTATTCAATTTCTCTTAAAATACTGTGAAAAAGAATAAATTCCATTAATTATCCTTAAAAAAAGCCATAGTTTTACAAGATTGTAACAGAGAACAATAAAATTAAAGCAGTATATTTTGTTACAACTGTCCTTGATTTGTGACAGAGAGTTTGCTCTTAAGACATCGGTAAGAATAACACAAAGACATTCTACAGACACGTTGTTACACAAGGGATATTACTGCAAACATATGACACAAGTTGTGGAAGCCTTTATATTGCTGTAAATAGCCTCATTTATGTCATCTCAGAGCGAAAGTATCTTACTTTGATTCACCTGAAGTATACAAGAGCAAAAATAATGTGAAGATTACTATTTTTCCTAAACACACCACATACTAAATATATATAATATTTATCACTCATTTATCACACATTCTTAAAATGAACTTCAGTCATAGTTTGAGGTCCTAGTCCCAGTTATAGCTTCAGCTTATATTCACATTTCATAAACAACATGAGGATATTCAGAGTAAATCAGGAACTGTCACAAACTTCTACATAAACACGTAAATGTCACCATTTGAAAGATTTTTCGTTTCATTATAAAAACACTAACGACACAACAGACTTGCATACTCTTCTTTATTTTTCCGGCAGTGTACCACGAATTACAAGGATTTTTTTTATTGCTAAAAAATATTTCAAGTCAGTGATTCTGATGCCAACTAGAAAAAAATCAGCCGGCATACTTATTTAAATTAAGGTGCAACTGATTTAGTTGTAATGCCGCTCAAAATACAACAGGATCACAAGTTTCTAAATAATATTTTACACACACATACACACACATATATATCTGTCTCTTATACACATCTAGACCATTTAAACAGGCTTCTAGCAAAATTTAACAGCCAGGGCGTGCAAGTCTCATAGAACACCAAATCCACCAACAGGGCTTCTACTTTACCTACCACAGAGTGTGAAAGAATCCCATACCTCCAAATCCATCAACAGGTTTCCAGCTGACTTTACAAAACACAGAGTGTGAATGATCATCACAGACCTCCAATTATCAACAGAGTTACTTTACCACCCAAAAAGTGTGGAAGAATCACAGAAATCCAAATCTATCAACAGGGTTCCAGCAGACCAACCACAGAGTATGAAAGAATTGCAGTCCTCTAAATCCATCAACTGGGTTCTAGCCAACTTTACAAAGCACAGCACGTGGAAGAATCACAGACTTCCAAATATATTGACATGGTTCCAGCAGACTTTACAAACCACATTATGTGGAGACCTCCAAATAATATCAACAGGGTTTCAGCAGACTTATTACCAGACCAGGGAATGTGACAAAATTACAAATCTCCAAAAAGTAATTCAAGGATAAAATTATATCATCTATACTGGAATAAAAACATATTTGCTTCCTTAGATCTCCTATATATTCTTTGAACAGAACATTAATTTAGCTAACCAATTTAAAGATTTTCTAAATAAATCTGCAAAATTAAATTTTATAAGTATTTCTTCGGAAATTATTAACTAATAATTATTCCTTTTAAAAAAGCTTTTTAAAATTCTCACTGAAATACTTTCATAATTGATGACAGTATACGTCTTCAAAAAGAGAACAAACGGTACAATTTGGTGTATTTACTATTGCATGTTCTCTCTTATTTTAATGCTTTTGGTTTTTATCACAGATCAAGGGCTGCTCATGTATTATAAGTCATTCTAAGATACAAACCTACTTTATAATGGCGTTAAAAAATGTCAAGTTTAAAATTTCATGAATGATGCCATTTGAAGCAATTTATCATTCTGATGAAGTTGTGGATTAAATGTCTGGTAGTTGAGTATATGCCAAGAAGATGATAGTGTGAAATTGTGTCTCCCATCTTATTGTGTTTATATTATTAACTATATCTTAAATACTGTATCTGAACAGACCCAATTTTAGGGGCAACAATGCAGATTTTTAGTGGAGGTGCTTACCTTCTAACCCCAGGTCCTGGGTTCAAATCCTGATTTTTTTTGTCTTATGAATAATAAAAAATGGCAACATTACAAAGCAATATAAAAAAACTTTCTATTATTTTATTTTAAGCTTTATTCATTTAAATATGGGTTATTCAACAGGAGTACCTTTTACAAATTCTTCGTAAAAACTTGTCAAAATCCATGCTATTAGAAATCCATAAAAAAAAATAATGGTTGAAATGTCATGCAAGTCACACAATTATTGGATTATGACATAAAATCTGATAACTCATTAGGTACTGTTACAAACTAGGTGAAAATGAGAGAAATGTACATATATATATACACATGAGAGGTGAACTTAAAGATGTCATCCATAGAGTTTGAATCCTCAGGGTGCTTTGGAAAATATAACAACTAATTAATAAGCTAACTGGCCAAAGGATGGTCATGTTCCTAAAAATATATCTGCCTTTTAGTAGATGATCATTGCTTCAGAGTTCATAATTGTAAATACCAATTTCCTGAAAAATGGACAGGAAAAAACAGTGGAGAATGCAGAAAGTTGAAAGAGTGGGCTCAGGGAGGGATTATTACAGATGGCGGGTACAGACTACATCAGTCCTCCTACCACGGTTGGGGCTACGGTACACACTTTTATGTCTACGGCACATTCTACTATTTAAAACTTTTTTCCTCCCACTAATATTTAATTTTCAAAAA